GCATGTTATCCTTTGTGTCCATTCACACATACAGTGGGCTTTAATCAGTGTTTTTTTTTGGCAGAGGCATTTTTTTGCTGGAAAAAAACTCCTAGAACTAGTGGGTTTCTAGAGGAGATTTTTAGCTGAAAAACGCGGCAAACTGGTGTTTTTGGACTTTTTATTAGACAAAAAATGTTTTTGTACATGTCTAAAAAAACTACAAATCGCTAGCGCTGCCAGCCTTATACAAAAGTCGGATTCAGGTGTTATACTTACGCTATTCTTATATATTTAATTTTATTAGTTTAGTTATTATAGTGCTAAAGATAAAATGATGAAATATCACCAAAAGAAAGTGCTATTTGTGTGGGGAAAAATTACGTAAATTTCTTGAGTACAGTGTTGCATGACAGGGCAATTGTCAGTTAAAGTAGCTCAGTGCCGTATAGCAAACAATGGCCTGGTCATGAAGGGGGGTAAAAACTTCCGGAGGGCAAGTAGTTAAAGTGTTCCTAAACCCACAACAGTACAATCAGTCTGTAGATGCAGTAAAGCATGCTTGTTATATAATCACTGTGGAACCTAAGGGGTTAATCCTCTGCATTGTGTAAAAAGGCTATTTGATCCTGTCTTCTCTGATCCTCCCCTTCTTCCAGTGTCCACCTCTTATCTCCTGGTAAGATATATTGTGTGGAGACACTCTGCACATGCTCAGTTTGGTGTGGATTGCTAGAGAGGTTTTTTTTTTTCGAGAGAGAGTGCATGTGATCAGCACAGGACCAATCAGCACTATTCAGACAGGAGGTCAGAGCAAAATGAAAACTCCTCCTACAAACTTTAACCAGTGCTCTGCTGGACACAGATAGAAGTCACAAGACTGCTATATACTGCTGATAAGAAAAGGTATTTAGCTGTTTTATATTTACTAAAATAATTTCATTTCCATGTTCTGTACTGTGGGAGAGCACATCTAGTGAATGCGGGGTCCGGGGAGACCAGATATAGTGAATGCGGGCTCCGGGGAGAGCAGATATAGTGAATGCAAGGTCCGGGGAGAGCGGATATAGTGAATGCAGGGTCCGGGGAGAGCGGATATAGTGAATGCAGGGTCCGGGGAGAGCGGATATAGTGAATGCAGGGTCCGGGGAGACCGGATATAGTGAATGCAGGGTACGGGGAGAGCGGATATAGTGAATGCAGGGTCTGGGGAGAGCGGATACAGTGAATGCGGGGTCCGGGAGAGCGGATATAGTGAATGCGGGGTCCGGGGAGAGTGGATATAGTGAATGCAGGGTACGGGGAGAGCGGATATAGTGAATGCAGGGTCCAGGGAGAGCGGATATAGTGAATGCGGGGTCCGGGGAGAGCGGATATAGTGAATGCGGGGTCTGGGGAGAGCAGATCTAGTGAATGCGGGGTCCGAGGAGAGCGGATATAGTGAATGCAGGGTCCGGGGAGACCAGATATAGTGAATGTAGAATCCGGGGAGACCAGATATAGTGAATGCTGGGTATGGGGAGATCAGATATAGTGAATGCAGGGTCTGGGGAGAACGGATATAGTGAATGCAGGGTCCGGGGAGAGCGGATATAGTGAATGCAGGGTCTGGGGAGAGCAGATCTAGTGAATGCGGGGTCCGGGGAGAGCGGATATAGTGAATGCAGGGTTCAGGGAGAGCGGATATAGTGAATGCAGGGTCCAGGGAGAGCGGAAATAGTGAATGCAGAATCCGGGGAGAGCGGATATAGTGAATGCAGGGTCCGGGGAGAGCGGATGAAGTGAATGTGGGGTCCGGGGAGAGTGGATATAGTGAATGCAGGGTCCGGGGAGAGCGGATATAGTGAATGCGGGGTCCGGGGAGAGCGGATGAAGTGAATGTGGGGTCCGGGGAGACCAGATATAGTGAATGCAGGGTCCAGGGAGAGCGGATAGTGAATGCATATTCGGGGAGAGCGGATATAGTGAATGCAGGGTCCAGGGAGAGCGGATATAGTGAATGCGGGGTCCGGGGAGAGCAGATATAGTGAATGCGGGGTCCGGGGAGAGCGGATATAGTGAATGCAGGGTCCAGGGAGACCAGATATAGTGAATGCGGGGTCCGGGCAGAGCGGATATAGTGAATGCGGGGTCCGGGGAGAGCGGATATAGTGAATGCGGGGTCCAGGGAGAGCGGATATAGTGAATGCAGGGTCCGGGGAGAGAGCGGATATAGTGAATGCGGGGTCCGGGGAGAGTGGATGAAGTGAATGTGGGGTCCAGGGAGACCACATATAGTGAATGCAGGGTCCGGGGAGAGTGGATATAGTGAATGTGGGGTCCGGGAGAACGGATATAGTGAATGCAGGGTCCCGGGAGAGCGGATAGTGAATGCATATTCGGGGAGAGCGGATATAGTGAATGCGGGGTCCATGGAGAGCGGATATAGTGAATGCAGGGTCCGGGGGGAGCGGATATAGTGAATGCAGGGTCCAGGGAGAGCGGATATAGTGAATGCAGGGTCTGGGGAGATCAAATATAGTGAATGCAGGGTCCAGGGAGAGCGGATATAGTGAATGCAGGGTCCAGGGAGAGCGGATATAGTGAATGTAGGGTCCGGGGAGAGCGGATATAGTGAATGTAGGGTCCATGGAGAGCAAATATAGTGAATGGGGGGTCCAGGGAGAGCGGATATAGTGAATGCAGGGTTTGGGGAGACCAGATATAGTGAATGCGGGGTCCGGGGAGAGCGGATATAGTGAATGCAGGGTTCGGGGAGACCAGATATAGTGAATGCAGGGTCCAGGGAGAGCGGATATAGTGAATGCGGGGTCCGGGGAGAGAGGATATAGTGAATGCGGGGTCCGGGGAGAGCGGATATAGTGAATGCGGGGTCTGGGGAGAACAGATATAGTGAATGCAGGGTCCGGGGAGAGCAGATATAGTGAATGCGGGGTCCGGGGAGAGCGGATATAGTGAATGCAGGGTCTGGGGAGAACAGATATAGTGAATGCAGGGTCCGGGGAGAGCAGATATAGTGAATGCGGGGTCCGGGGAGAGTGGATATAGTGAATGCGGGGTCCGGGGAGAACGGATATAGTGAATGCGAGGTCCGAGGAGAGCGGATATAGTGAATGCAGGGTCTTGGGAGACAAGATATAGTGAATGAGGGGTCCGGGGAGAGCGGATATAGAGTAATGCCCGTAGCGAAAAAAGGAAAGGAAAATTAGCGCAGGGCAGGCATGACTAGGCCTAGAGTGGGAAGGAGAGTAAGAAAGGGTTAATGATGTGCCAGGGGGGTGTGGAAAAGGATAGATGGGTGTGCTGGTTGGTGGAGAGAGAGCGTGGGTGGGCTCTGCCGCACCTTAGGGTGGGGTGTCCCAGGGGGGGGAGGCATCATTTCGGACCTGGACGTTGGTGAGTGAGATTCCCTCCCGCCCTCCCCTGTTATAGGGAGTTTTTGTGTTCCTCTCGGGGGTCAGGGGGTTGTTTCGGTCTTGGGCGGTTGTTGGTCTTGGAGGCGGTTCTTATCTTGGAGGTACAGATAATGGTGTGGGACCCATCGGTGGTATGGTGTGCCCGGGGACATTCCAGTTAACCAAGGTTTAACTGGAAGGTGGTGGTGCTGCACTGCGGACGGTATGGTTGTCTCCGAGCTGGTTGGTTGCGGCTGGAGGCCTTTGTGTAATATGGTTGTCCGCAGGTGCATTTCATATCATTTTGGTGGGGTGCCTTCGAAGACCAACAACAACAACTCTGTATGTTTCTGTTATAAGGAATGGTTGGTGTTAAAAAATGTTTGTTAATAAAAGGCCATGTTGGCCATTTACTCCAAAAATTGGTGTCATGGTTTTTTATTTAAGTATAGTAAGGGGGGAATTTGGATGACCTATCTCTGGTGCTCTAGTCATGAATGCGCGGTCTGGGGAGAGCAGATCTAGTGAATGCGGGGTCCGAGGAGAGCGGATATAGTGAATGCAGGGTCCGGGGAGACCAGATATAGTGAATGTAGAATCCGGGAGACCAGATATAGTGAATGCAGGGTCTGGGGAGAACAGATATAGTGAATGCAGGGTCTGGGGAGACAAGATATAGTGAATGCAGGGTCTGGGGAGAACAGATATAGTGAATGCGGGGTCCAGGGAGAGCGGATATAGTGAATGCGGGGTCCAGGGAGAGCGGATATAGTGAATGCAGGGTCCGGGGAGAGCGGATATACTGAATGCGGGGTCCGGGGAGAGTGGATGAAGTGAATGTGGGGTCCAGGGAGACCACATATAGTGAATGCAGGGTCCGGGGAGAGTGGATATAGTGAATGTGGGGTCCGGGGAGATCAAATATAGTGAATGCAGGGTCCGGGGAGAGTGGATATAGTGAATGTGGGGTCCGGGGAGAACGGATATAGTGAATGCAGGGTCCCGGGAGAGCGGATAGTGAATGCATATTCGGGGAGAGCGATATAGTGAATGCAGGGTCCGGGGGGAGCGGATATAGTGAATGCAGGGTCCAGGGAGAGCGGATATAGTGAATGCAGGGTCTGGGGAGATCAAATATAGTGAATGCAGGGTCCAGGGAGAGCGGATATAGTGAATGCAGGGTCCAGGGAGAGCGGATATAGTGAATGTAGGGTCCGGGGAGAGCGGATATAGTGAATGTAGGGTCCATGGAGAGCAAATATAGTGAATGCGGGGTCCAGGGAGAGCGGATATAGTGAATGCGGGGTCCAGGGAGAGCGGATATAGTGAATGCGGGGTCCGGGGGGAGAGAGGATATAGTGAATGCGGGGTCCGGGGAGAGCGGATATAGTGAATGCGGGGTCTGGGGAGAACAGATATAGTGAATGCAGGGTCCGGGGAGAGCAGATATAGTGAATGCGGGGTCCGGGGAGAGCGGATATAGTGAATGCGGGGTCCGGGAGAGAGCGGATATAGTGAATGCAGGGTCTGGGGAGAACAGATATAGTGAATGCAGGGTCTGGGGAGAACAGATATAGTGAATGCAGGGTCTGGGGAGAACAGATATAGTGAATGCGGGGTCCGGGGAGAGTGGATATAGTGAATGCGGGGTCCGGGGAGAACGGATATAGTGAATGCGAGGTCCGAGGAGAGCGGATATAGTGAATGCAGGGTCTTGGGAGAAAGATATAGTGAATGCGGGGTCCGGGGAGAGCGGATATAGTGAATGCGCGGTCTGGGGAGAGCAGATCTAGTGAATGCGGGGTCCGAGGAGAGCGGATATAGTGAATGCAGGGTCCGGGAGACCAGATATAGTGAATGTAGAATCCGGGGAGACCAGATATAGTGAATGCAGGGTCTGGGGAGAACAGATATAGTGAATGCAGGGTCTGGGGAGAACAGATATAGTGAATGCAGGGTCTGGGGAGACAAGATATAGTGAATGCAGGGTCTGGGGAGAACAGATATAGTGAATGCGGGGTCCGGGGAGAGCGGATATAGTGAATGCGGGGTCCAGGGAGAGCGGATATAGTGAATGCAGGGTCCGGGGAGAGCGGATATAGTGAATGCGGGGTCCGGGGAGAGTGGATGAAGTGAATGTGGGGTCCAGGGAGACCACATATAGTGAATGCAGGGTCCGGGGAGAGTGGATATAGTGAATGTGGGGTCCGGGGAGATCAAATATAGTGAATGCAGGGTCCGGGGAGAGTGGATATAGTGAATGTGGGGTCCGGGGAGAACGGATATAGTGAATGCAGGGTCCCGGGAGAGCGGATAGTGAATGCATATTCGGGGAGAGCGGATATAGTGAATGCGGGGTCCATGGAGAGCGGATATAGTGAATGCAGGGTCCGGGGGGAGCGGATATAGTGAATGCAGGGTCCAGGGAGAGCGGATATAGTGAATGCAGGGTCTGGGGAGATCAAATATAGTGAATGCAGGGTCCAGGGAGAGCGGATATAGTGAATGCAGGGTCCAGGGAGAGCGGATATAGTGAATGTAGGGTCTGGGGAGAGCGGATATAGTGAATGTAGGGTCCATGGAGAGCAAAATATAGTGAATGCGGGGTCCAGGGAGAGCGGATATAGTGAATGCAGGGTTTGGGGAGACCGGATATAGTGAATGCAGGGTCCAGGGAGAGCGGATATAGTGAATGCGGGGTCCGGGGAGAGAGGATATAGTGAATGCGGGGGTCCGGGGAGAGCGGATATAGTGAATGCGGGGTCTGGGGAGAACAGATATAGTGAATGCAGGGTCCGGGGAGAGCAGATATAGTGAATGCGGGGTCCGGGGAGAGCGGATATAGTGAATGCAGGGTCTGGGGAGAACAGATATAGTGAATGCAGGGTCCGGGGGAGAGCAGATATAGTGAATGCGGGGTCCGGGGAGAGCGGATATAGTGAATGCGGGGTCCGGGGAGAGCGGATATAGTGAATGCAGGGTCTGGGGAGAACAGATATAGTGAATGCAGGGTCTGGGGAGAAACAGATATAGTGAATGCAGGGTCTGGGGAGAACAGATATAGTGAATGCGGGGTCCGGGGAGAGAGGATATAGTGAATGCAGGGTCTGGGGAGAACAGATATAGTGAATGCAGGGTCTGGGGAGAAACAGATATAGTGAATGCAGGGTCTGGGGAGACAAGATATAGTGAATGCAGGGTCTGGGGAGAACAGATATAGTGAATGCAGGGTCTGGGGAGAACAGATATAGTGAATGCCGGGTCCGGGGAGAGTGGGATATAGTGAATGCGGGTCCGGGGAGAACGGATATAGTGAATGCGAGGTCCGAGGAGAGGTTAGAGCGGATATAGTGAATGCAAGCATCCAAAACGCACAGAAAGTAGGTTATATGGTTGTCAATGTTCATGTCAGTGCTCACAGTTCCAGTGCATTCTGGATGCAGAAAAAAAAAGTAGGACTGCCTGCATTTTTTCTGCACAGAACTGTACTGGAACGAAAATGAACCAGAAACGCACTGGAACACACATGTCCCTATTGAAATTGAAGAAAAAGAAAGAGGAAAAAAATTAACTGGAAAGTATAAAAACACATAAAAAAATGCACCGGAACACATCTGGACTGTCTTTCTATAGTGTGAACCGGCCCTTACAGGGATGATTGTGATTGGGTGTGTTGTGTGGTCAGAGATGGTATTCTGGGTACCTTGGATGTAACGAGGGGTTATTGGAGTTATTGTTGCCTTTCTATCACCCGGAACCAGTCTGCCCATTCTCTGACCTCCGACATCAACAAGGCATTTTCCTCCACACAACTGCTGCTCACTGGATATTTCCTCTTTTTCGGACCATTCTCTTTAAATCCTAGAGATGGTTGTGCATGAAAATTCCAGTAGATCAGTAGATTGTGAAATACTCAGACCAGCACGACTGACACCAACAACCATGTCACGTTCAAAGTCACTTAAATCCCCTTTCTTCCCCATGCTGATGCTTGGTTTGAACTTCAGCAAGTTGTCTTTGCCACGTCTAGATGCCTAAATGCATTGAGTTGCTGCCATGTGATTGGCTGATTAGCAATTTGTGTTACCAAGCATGTGAACAGGTGGACCTAATAAAGAGGCTGCTGTGTGTATGTGGGTGCAGGTCCCCAAACACAGATAGTGTGGATTCGGGGCCCATACCCATACAAATGTAAGATGGGGAGCGCAGCTGTGTCTGTGCAGTGGCTGCATCCTAACTGACATTAAGGGGCTGAACACCCATACATCTCCTGCCCCTGGAGCAAGCATGGCCCTCACACTGGTGTATGCTTACGAATGCTCATGTGAACAAAGTCTAACAGTAACATACAGACATACATAAATACAGTGGCAGTGAGTGGAGGATGATGGATCCACACTCTGACAGATCCCAGGCTGGAAATCTCCAGGCAATGGGGGGAGGTAAAACACTGTGACAGCAGGCAGACCAGCCCCCACACACACAGAGAACACTTGAGCTGAGCGATCCCACACAGTGACAGATCTGACACAACACACCACCACCAACACTGACACAGATCAGCAGGCCCAGCAGGCACTAGAAGAGCAGGCTGTGGGATGGTGATGATGTCATCACTCACTGACACATTGCACATGTGATGGATGGCCGGCCAGCTGGGTCACACTCACAGACACGAGAAATCAGAGTCAGACATTACTTTCCACCTCCACTAATAAATGGGAAGAGAAGGGCTGGAACTCCACAGTGAACAGCAGCCACCAGCCAGCTTGCAGTAAGGGACTGAGTCTGAGAGGAACACTTGAAGGAGCAGCAGCTCAGCTGCTACACTGGTCCCAGATACCCAGCATCTTCCTCTGTCCTTCCTTCCTTCCTCTCTGCTGCCCCCTCCCTTCAGCTGGATGTCATTAATGATGTGGTGGCATCCCACACAGAGAGAGTGCAGGCCTGTGCTGTGCCAAGGAGCCCCTAGGTAGCAGTACGCCCTAGGTGGATGCCTAGTTTGCCTAGTGTTAGCACTGGCCCTGGGGGCAGAGTGTACAGGGAGGGGGATAGTGTAAAACAGGAATAGGAGGTGTGTGTACAGGGGAAAAGGGGGGCAGTGTACACAGGAGGGCAGTGTGTAGAAAGGGTGGGACAATGTGCACGGGGGGTGAATTTAATTTGGGATGATTTCCTGGTTGTGTTTGTTGTTTATAAGCAGACTAAAAAGCCACGCCCAATATCTAGCATGATCTAGCCACACGCACTTTTGCTGTGGCATGGTATGCATGACGCAGGCTTCTATCTCCATGGTAGGGGTCCCAGTGCATTACTTTGTCCAGGGTCCCATGATACTATTAAGACAGCCCTACCCCTCCATGCACTAGATGCCCCTCAAAGATAAACCTGTCAGGGTCTCGGCGTCTGATTCGCTGACAGGTAGCGATGAGAATGGAAAAAAGGAAGCCTCATGTCACTTCAAATCTACCAGAACTCTGATGCATTTCATTTGTACTAGCAACCTTTATCAAGGACAGACACAAGAGCGGGACAACTTCTTTATAAAGCCAACCACTATAAAGTTTAACCTCAAAGTTGGCTGTTTGATCCTGTCTTTTCTGATCCTCCCCTTCTTTCAGTGTCCCCCTCTTATCTCTTGATAAGACAAATCACGTGGAGACACTCTGTACATGATCAGTTTAGTGTGTATTGCTAGACAGTTTATTTTTTTTATCTTGGGAGAGTTCATGTGATCAGCACAGGGCCAATCAGCACTGTCCAGACAGAGGGCCAGGGGTCCTGCATCCTCCTAGAGCAGAAATAAAATGCCTCCTACAAGCTTTAACCAGTGCTCGGCTGGACACTGATAGAGGTCACAAGACTGCTATATACTGCTGATGAGAAAAGGGCCAGAAAAAAAGAGCCAGGAGGAAGCAGTTGGTGGGAAAGAGTTCAGCTGTCCAATGGTGGTGTGAGTCTATATCTCCCTCACTAGGAAGAGCCTGGTGGATGTTGGCAGGAGGCAACTTATAATCCTGTGAATTCAAGACCCCATTGCTGAGAAGTTAGTGATCCTGTATAGCTTTTAAACTCTGGGAAGGAGTACAGGTCACCTCTGGAAGGAGTACAGGTCCCCATCAGCATAGAGATCCTGTGTGACTTTCATCTTTGTACTGCACAGCCAGAGAGTCCTCAAGCTATTCAGTTTCACAGTTTTCTGGGCTATCCCATGCTCCCTACCCCCCATCCAATCTCATTGTTCCCAAAAAAAAAAACCCAAAAGGAATCCCATAGACTGTTCTTAGGAGCCATTGGAGGCATGCAGGAAATGCTGTGTGCCTGGCTGTGTGTGTTCTAAGAGGGAAATAGGACCACAATTCACCAGCGGCTCTTTGGGGTAGGTGCTCTACATAGAGATAAGCCCAGGAGATGTCATGCAGCTCCTTGGACTTAAAGTTGTATTAAACACATTTTTTAAAAATAAAAGAACAAGCATCCTCCTCTTCTCCGATCCTCCTCTTCTTGGGTCCACCAACACTGCTCCTTCCTGCCGAGTGCCCCCACAGCATGCAGCTTACAATGGGGGCACCCAAGCAGGCATGCTTCTGAGCTACTGCTATGCGTGTCTCTTCTCTCTCCTCATTGGCTAACTGGCTGTGATTGACAGTCTCAGCCAATGAGGAGGGAGAGTCCCCTCCAAGGAAAGACACTTGTGCACATCGCTGGATCGTGATGGGGCTCAGGCATTAGGCTGCTGCACACAGAAGGTTTTTTAGAATGCATGAAGGTAAAAACCTTGAGTCTTTAGAACCACTTTAACTCATAGGGGTTAATGTACCAAAGGAAAATAGACTATGCACCTTGCAAAGTGCAGTTGCTCCGGAGCTTTGTAAATGAGGTAAAGATTCACTTTGCAAGGAACACCCAATCATGTGCAAGGAAAACAGCACTTTTGCTTCCACATGATTGGATGATGGAAGTCAGCAGAGCTTCTGATCATTAAGTAAGCTCTGGAGAAACTGCACTTTACAAAGTGCTCAGTCTATTTGTCTTTAGTAAATCTACTGCATAGTGGGGTTGATTTGCTAAAGCCAAATAGACTGAGCACTTTGCGAATGCAGTTGCTCCACAGATTAGTAAACAAGGTAGTTTAACTTTACAAAG